TGCCACCGCCGGGGACCTGCGCGCCCGCGTACCGCCGCCGAGGAGCAGAGACAGGGCCGCCCCATGCCTGCGCACTTGCTGGAGGAGGAGGTAGGGGGGGGGCTGCCGGCGGGCCCGGGGGTGCGGGTGCTTTGTCTTCCCCTCGCCCCTTCCTCCTTCATCTCCGCGGCTCCGGCGGTGCTGCTGTCTTGGGAAAAAAGGTCTGGGCATCCACGCGTGTCCGTGCATGCACACGCACACGTAGGCACACATGTGTGTGTGTGTGCGCGCGTGTGTCCTCCCTGTGCCGCTTCTCAGTCATGAGGCGAAGTCATTCGGTGCTAACTTAAGACATCACCCAAGCCTCATGGGGAGACCGTGAATGAAGCGGGGATCGCCGCCGCTGGGATTATCTCCCCGCGGAGCCTATGCCCTCGGATAGACTGAGCATAAAATACGGGGGCATCTTAAAAACATCCATCCAAGCGTGCTGGTAAGGGCTGTTCAGGAGGGTCTTTTGTGCCAAGAGGTCGTGGGGTTTTTGGTAGTGCTCAGACTGCGATTTTTTTATTTTCTTAATATTTTTTTTTTTTAAATAAGAAAGGGCTTTCACTTACAGCATTTTTAAGGCAAATGTTGCAGCAGGGAGCGTCTCTAGGACAGACGCAAGGTGAAAGCGTCCAGCTGCCCAGATGAAATGAATGACGGCGTCCGCATTGCCTGTGCCAAGCAAAGTTACAATGGGGAGACTGCCCATTTTTGGCATAAGGTCTGAATAACAACCCGGCACCAGGAAGCTACGTAGAGCTGCTGGACCTTTAGAGATTTTATTTTTTATTTTTGCCTCTCCTGGCAGCCACCCTTTGCCTGAGGGGGAGGCAGGGGCTGATTCCGGTATTCCTGCTCTCACCTTCCCATCTTTACCCCTTCTGCCTGTGCTGAGGAGTGGAGGTAAATCACAGCCCTGCTCTCTTGCCTGTCGCCAGCACGCGGGGTCTCCCCGGGTCCTTTTGTGCAGGTGCTGTGACCTTCCAGGGATGCTGTGATGTAAAGAACTTTACTCCTCTCCCCACCCGAAACGGATGCCAAGGGCAGTGTGCTCAGACCGTGTTTCATGGTCTTGGCATGTATTTTGGGGCATATCCTGGAGGCTGGAAAGAATCCTGTCCCTGGGTCACATTGGGCATATTCAAATATACTGGACCCGAGACTGAGTGCCCTGGGGCCCCTAGGCTGAACCCAGCGCGGGAACCTTTGGAGTTGCAGTTGGTTGTATAAGCTGGCTGGGTGCCAGGATCACCTATGGCGTGTTCAATGCTGGTAGGGTGTGTGGTGGCGGGGGGTTGGAGATGGGGGAACACATCTGTTCTGCAGATGAGAGTTGCAAAGTCATTCAGAAATGAGGGAGAGCTCATGAAAATGATTTAGCTGGCCTCCTCCCCCTCTCAGCTCTAGACCCCAGATCAATCCCCATCCCATTTTCCTTGGTAGGAGCCGCGGGAGCCACTATGGCCATAAGGGGGTAAAAATCCTCTTTTTTCCCTCCTCATTTCTCCCGTCTCCAGCTAAATAGCTGCCCGCTCTCCCTCCCTCTTCCCCCATGCTCCCTCCACCAAGTCTGTAATGGTGGAGCTGTGTTTCACAACTGTTTTATAGCCCTTTTGATTTAAGGTTAGTTTACACGTGAGAAATGACCAGTTTGATTATATCAGTGTAATTCCAGCAGCATAGGTATGCTGGTGAAATTCCTCGTGTGGCTACTACGACTCTGGAAGAAGAGGTTTTTTCCTCTCTGCTGTTTTCTTTGCGCTCTCCCTCCTCCTCCTCCTCTGCCCCTGTGTAACTTTGACAGTGACATAAGCTATCGCGGAGGAGAAAAATGCAACTCCAACCCCACATTCTTACTCTGGAAGCAGCATGTCCATATGGGGAGCGTTACCCGTCTAATTATACCACCAGATCTCTGTTGGGAATTTTTCCTGCATAGACAAGTCTTAGGTCTTTTTGGTAGATTGTCTTCCGGCCAAGGAAGAAAATTGTGCCTTCCTGCCAAAATGCCAGATGAGAATATCTGACGCTTTGAAATGGGCAGGACTTTTCCTTGCCTAATCTCTGGATTAGAAGACATTTCTCACGGCTCTTTTTGCAGAGCATTGCCTCTAAATTCTCAAGCAGCTCAGAGTATCATACCCTCAAAACATTAATTAGGGAAGCAGGCAGAGACAGCCTATAGCCAGGATGCAGAGGAGTCAGTCCCAAGCTCAGCAGCTGCCTGAGTTCAGAAAAAGCAGCAGGATACTTCGTGTCCAGTTTTTTTCCTTTCTAACCTTTGATTCCAGAAGGAAAAACTTAGAGGGCTCCCTCTGTAGAGATCATTTTACTTCTCAAACGTGGGGAATCTGTCAGCTTTGCCAGCTCCTCCCCGTAGGAAGGTATGTCTGTAACCCTCTAGTTTCTACCCTTGGGAGAGGGAGGAGTTGGGGTGGCCACGTAAGCTGCCTGGCCTGATTTTAATGCCTCCCTCAGGAAACTAGGCCATGGCAGGACGGTGGTCTTTTATGAATCCCGGGTGCCTGGGTGGGAATCTAGTGTTAATTCAGGAGAGATTTCTATTGGGAAAGGAGCTTTCCCGGCTTGGCCACGCTCCCTCCCACGGTCCTGGCTCTCCCGTTCCTGCTGGCTGACCTTTAGTGCCCCTTCGCACGTGGAGGCAGCGGCGCGGGTGGCAGAGGGACGTGTCCTTCGGGCAGGTTCCCGGGAGGCGAGGGGATGGGGGCGGCGTGCCCTCCCACCGCTCGCATCCCACGTGCTTGGCACCCCCAGGGTCGAGCCCAGTCGGGTGCTTGGGCTCGGGCCTGACAAAGGGCTGCAAGCACCAGCAAGCACGCGGCTGTCATGATGGAGATGGAAATCAGTGATTCAGGGTTCAGTGACCTGTCTCATTAGGGTCAGTCCTGCCTGCTCCTTTCGTCATGCATGCCTGATCAGGCAGGCTGTCACTCAGCCAGGGCAAACAAGCGTGTGCACAGGGAATGTTGTGTCACGGTTACAGGAGGGAGCCGGGAGCCAGGCTGAGCCAACTTGCTGCTTAAAACTTCCTCTCCGCGTGCTGGTGGCCTTGGCTCAGAGGGTTGTCTTCCCGTGCCTCAGTTTGCCTGTGGGTGGAAAGCGGGAGAGGGATTAAGAGCTTAGCAGGAGCCATGGGATAGGGTGTCTAACTGGAAGCACACTGCTCGACTGCTACCGTCTGCTGGTCTCCAAGCGTGTTGTTCTTGCCATGTCCCAGCCTGGAAGGTGAGGCAGGGGGAGATAAGGAGGCACCCCAGAGGAATCCCCCTGTGGATCCTCCTGATGTTCCTCCAGTGATCCCTAGTGGGGTGATACAAAGAGGTATCAGGAGCAGCCCAATGATTTATAATAAAACCATATTTCAGACCGTATTTCTCTCCCACCTCTTTGTTCATTCACAAGATTTCCTTTATTGTTGTCTGCTTATGCACAAGCCCAGACCACAAACCCACGTAAAAACGCCTACTAATAAAACTGAAGTAAAATGAAAATCTTTGCAGCCTGCAAATGATCTCACCAAAGCCACTGGTGGATAAGACTGGCTTTCACGTCTTTTACTTTACTTTCTGTACCCTGTCCACCATTCACCTCCTCTCCCCAGAAAGATCAGGCCCCTTCCCTCTCAGGCGATGACTCCGCGGGGCCAGAGCAGGCTCTTCTTGGTGCCAAGGGCTCAGCTGAAAGAATGGAGCCTGCCAGGAAAACTGCAGGCTGCAAGTCTCGGTACTGCCAGCCTAGCTGTTTGTGTCTCAATTCCCTGCATTGGTAACCACCAACTTCTTGTTTTGTTTTCCCTTTTTCCCTTCTTGAAAATGTCTGTTGCCGCCTCTCCAAGGAGTTCTCCTCCGCTTCCAGCACCACCACTGTCGGCACCGTCACCTCCCGGGTGACCAGGAATGGGGATGCCGTCATGGAGAAGGACTTACTCAATCACGAGGACTTGGCAGGAGACCGGGGCATGATAGACGATATCTTTGATGAGACCTACCGGGAGAAGGAGGGCCCCAAGCCCCCCATGCGATACGTCTGGAGGAATATCATCCTCATGAGCCTGCTGCATCTAGGGGGCATATTTGGGTTGACGCTGATACCTTCTGCAAAGATCCAGACATTGGCATGGGGTAAGCATGTTCCTCCACTTGTTTCTTGGCATCTGCAAACCCGTTTCTTGGGTGGTATTTTTTTTTTCCTCCAGGCCCACAGACTCGGGGAGGAGAAAGAAGGAAGTGGAGGTCTTCTGTTAGAAGAAGCTACTCAGCCAGCTTCATAGGAAGCTGTGGGAGGGCTTGCTAGTGTCTCTTGTAAGGTCATGATGAGAGGGGAGGATTTGGCAGGGGACTGCTTGGCTGCTTAAAGAGCAAACTTGATTCACAGGCATTAGGCTTGGAAGTAGCCGACAACTGAATGTGCAGCCACCTCTGGGGTGAAGCACAGAAAATGTTTGATGGAGTACTGTGACGGTCCCAGAAAGTTAGGAAGAAAGGTGCTAGCAAGAGCACTTTAAGAAGTGCCTAGGTAGGCAAGGTACTTGTGTTATTTGGGCACATATATATATATATATATACATATATATACAAGGGCATTATTTGGCATGAGGCTGCTGCCCAAAGACAAGAACCATTCCTGTCCATACCAAGGGAGGATAAATCCTGCAGAGCCTCCACGTGTGTGTGAGAGGAAAGAGACAAAATACAGTTGTGTTGAAGATAAAAGTCAAGAGTTAAGTCTGAAGCTCAGGTCTTTTATCATTCTTACAAAAGCACAGATTAGCCCCCATCATCCCGGAACTAAGCCTGACAACTTTAAAAATATAAATAAGCATCTCTCCAGGCAGCAAATTCCAATGGAAAGCACAACCCAGCAGAAGGTAGCTAGGCGAAGCTCCCCTTTCTCAGAGACCTTGCCCTGGGTAGGAACCAAACTTCTCCTTTGACTGCTTGAGAGGCAGCTGGGCCCGGGGCCCAAGCTGCAGGGGGCCTTGCTTTCCACGAGCCTTTGTGTGGACCCCTGGAGGAGTCAAGAAGCCAAATGGCTCCCAGTGGGGAGGTCGAGAGATTGCATCCAGCCCCTGCCTTCCTGTGAAACAGAGCATCCTGAAACGAAAAGCAACAGTCTAATTTGAGACCTGCTGGCATGGCTTTTGATTTCAGCGGTGCTCCTGCAAAGTGCTCGGCTGGGAGCAGGGTCCTGGCCAGCCCAGCTGTGGACAGGCCCTGGAGGGATCCACCTGGTCTGTCACTCTCTCAAAGTCTGTCCCCCCAGTGTCTGTGAGCGACAAGCATCACAGCTGGGCTGGGAAAGAGCT